GAGGCTACAGTTCACACAGGCTCACCAAAACTGTACAATATGAGGGGTGAGTCTTGATTTCTGTTGCAACAGTCAGATTTTAGGGTCACAATCTGAGGAAAAATTGGGGTTCGGAGTGCTGGTGGTGGTGTAGCAGTGTGGTCGATCTTTTCTTGGCACAGTTCAGGCACCTTGGTACCAATTGAGCTTTCTTTAAACACCACAGTCTATCTGAGTATTGTTGCTTGCTCATCCCTTTATGACCACAGTGTACCTATCTACCGATGGCTGCTTCCAGGAGGATAACACACCCGTCAAAAATATGTTAAGGGTTTAGTCTAGAAGTATGATTGGTCTGGTACTCATTTGTATCAAGAGATCTATTTCACAGGTTCTTCTTACACAGAAAAAAGGTCTCCAAACAAATTCATATAAAAGCAAATGAAATAGATTAAGGTATCCACCTATGTTTTCTTGTATTTTCTAAATATTGTACTGATGTCCTGGAGTCCCAAAGAGAAGGTCTGTTGTTCCATTTGCACACATTTCCTGAACTTTCTTTATTCAAACATTTTTTCTATCTTTCTTTAGTTTTTACTACTAATGCAATTAGTATTTGTAAGTACAATAAGACTTGTTTTTTGAGACCATGTGGCATATTTCCCAATTAAATACAACAAGAATATAAACTAATCTTTGAGCTGGTTATTGACCTTTATCTTTATCTTATTTCTTAACCCACAATTTCCTTTCTACGTGCAGTTTTAGCTCAAACTTAACACCCATGGGTGATGACTCAGAAGGATAAAGGCCACGTACCTGTTATTCCACCGCGCCTCTATTCGTGTATTTATGGTAAAGCCCTCCGCCACACGGAAGAAAGGTTTCAGCTAGCATGATGCTCACAGGGATGTAAAAATTTTCTACTGCGTCGCTTCTTTTCACATTTTTTTAAACCACTGCTTGGAAGCACTTACTAATTCTTCATTTACCTGGCATATATTACTTTGAATGAGTCAACATGGCGACGTGCATTCCCTTTCAAACACAGTTATCCTCAATAATGGAGGTTCTGGTGAAGGCAGCAGTGGCAGAGATATCCAAACTAGTCGATGACAAATGTGCGTTTCTGCATCTTGAAATATCCCGAAAGCAGAGCGAGAACGAGATGCTGAAGAGGAAACTGCTGGTGATGGAGAGCAAAAATGCGCAGCTGCAGCGAGGATTCGGTAAGATTTCCATCACTGTGCCAACTGACAACTCAGTGTGTTGTGCATCTAAATGTAGAAGTAGAACCAAACGCAGGAAGAATTTGATTTAAAAAGCCACCGCTGGTGTGTTTTATATTAACCTCTGCTTATTTTTGGAAATGAATTTCGAGGTATTTTACTCCCCCTCCAAATAATATCTACTTTTCCTCTGCTCGAGCTTTCAAATTGAGATTTTTCTTCCCTTCTGCAACCAGAAAACTACATGGACAGAGGAACTGATGTGGGGAGCAACTGTCCGCACCCTGCAAGAGATATGAAGGTCTGTGTTTACTACATGCTCTAATAATTGTTGCCTTTTGGACAACATTTGCTCTTTTTTTGTTAAAAAAAAAACAAAACTTTTTTGTTTTTAGAGAAGTCATACATAAAATGAACATGTTGCTGCAAGTTTCAATGTTTACACAGTTTAAAAACATACCAGCTACATGGAAAAAGTATCTGCGCTTATTTAGATATTTTAAAAGGGAGACCTGGCCTTTAAACAACCATGAAGTGACATCTAAGGGATAATTTTGTAACAGCAAGAATGGTGATTGAAGGATAAAAAATGTTTTGAAGAAAAGTCAACAAACTGTTAATTTTATTCCTTGTTAAATTAAAGTTATTTCAATAATCCTTCAAAATAGCACCTGTAGGTCTTTCATGGTGGTTACGATGGGGTAAGATTTGCCTCTCGAGTTATTTTGTTACCCCTCTATGTGTCACACACCTAGACTTAAAATCAGTTCCAGGTTAGGCGTCAGCGATTTGAGCTTCCTTTAACAGTGACAGCTGAAAGCTGTGAGGTTTGTGCTCTGCTGTTCTCTTTGCTGTCGAAGTTTGTGGTTGTCATCAAGACAATATCTGAAGAGTGTGTTCATTTAAAAATAAATAAACAAATAAAACAAGAAAATCTGCCTGTGAGCATGGGAATTCAAACATTTCCCCAAATGATATGAAATAAAATCCCCCACACGTGGAAGGTCAGTTCAACCCAGGGGCAGATTGACTGATGCAACAAGAAGTCTTGCAAAAACTTGAGCATTTGTTCATTTATTCTTTAGCTGTTAGTGTCAAAGTGTTAGCATCGGAAAAATAAAGAAACAGT